TTTACGATTCTCCTTTGATTTACGTACCTTTAACAGTTGATAGTGATACTTTATTAACATATAGTCAACTGTAAATAAACTGTGGCAACCTCCAATTATGAATTAGATATTCTCATTTTACATTTGCATGGTTCATGGTTGCTTGATTTTTATAAAATTCTTTAATTTATTGTAATTGATATACCTCGCTTAATTGTCGAATCAATGCGTTTGCAGGAGAACTATGAGGTGGATAACAGCTATCGCTGGACTAGTTATTCTAGTCCTGCTGCAGGACGCTCAAGCCTTACCTCGTGTAAGTAATGAATATTATTATATTAAAATTTAAATATATTTAAGTTCGATATATTGAATATATTAATTATTAATTATACGATATGTATGATATCAGTCGTTACTGAAAGGGTTCCTTAACTTTCTTATTAACTTCTTAATGAATACTTCGGATTTACATGTATGAAATCGGTAGTTATATGTTGATTTATGTATAAAATAAATTCCTTATTTTTATATAACAAAATACATTTCACTTAAAAATACAAAGACAAATATGAAGTTCTCTTCAGTTTTGAGAAAAAATGTATCAATTTTAATAAGTGTCTTCTAAACTGCATATTTTGCCGGACATTTTTCGATGGTACGTGCACATAAAAAGTGTGAAATACTAAGACGATTACTACATATAAAAATATCTTATTTATTTCCTAGAAAATTGTATATTCACATGCATTGGAGTGCACAATTCTATACGAAGCGTCCGATATACAAATGCATAACGAATATCTCGCTTATCTCAAAAATTATTTAAATAATTATAATATCAAAAATACATATTTAAATAGTCATTGTCATTTTATCTAAAAAGAGTCTGTAAAACCATTCAAGTTAAATTTGAAAATTCCAATACATTCGAACTTAAGTTTCTCAAAAACTGTAAAAGATCGTTTATTAAATAATAAAATATAATTTTTCAAAACACAACTTTCATATTTTTCAAACAGACTACTAAGAGGATTTGATTCAGGCGAACGAAAAACTAACTGTTAAAGTAAGGTTTTGATTTTCGGGATCGTAGTAAAATTGGAATATCATTCCAGAATTCAAGTTAATGCTCTAAGGGCCTAGTTCGAATTTAATTTGAAATTTCGACGGTATCTTTTCTAGAAACAATGGAAACGCAGCATAGACTTAAATGACGTCTATGATTCGAAGATCCGTCAACATGTAATATCAGACGTAATACCAACCCAATATGACCTTGAACTACAGCCGTTCATTGGAAATGACAAATTCAGTGGACGAGTCAAGATCAACGTTACCTGGAACCTCCCCACTAATCAGATTACTCTACACGTTCATCCTAGTCTTGAAATCATTGATACTTCTGTTAAGATTACTCAAGGGTCGTTTGAAGAAAGGTCTGGTTACATTACAACTTAAATTACTTGACAGATCTCTTTGATATATTTTAATAACATCGTGATTCTTATTCAATACACAGTAATTGCAACAAATTCATTGGATTCTTGAATGTTTTTTAATGTTTAAACACAGATCTGTATTCACTGTAATAATGTTTACAGTACTGATTCAATAAATGATCAATGTTGCTTTCTATTATAAAGATTCTTGTACATAAGATGCTTAAAATTTTATCGTTATCGCCATAAGGTTTATTAAGTTAATTTTATATTAAGACTCAAGGAGCGTTAATAGTTTTTTAAAGTGTTTGAGAAAAACATTTTTTTTTCAATTGTAATCACATAAACATATTAAAAAAATGAAAAGGATCTAAATCTAGAAATCTTAATGTATAAAAAGAACTTGTAAAATATTTATGATAAATAATTGAGGTCAAAATTGATATTTCCAATTAGAGTCTCGGGGACACTTAATTATGGATTATGAAAACATATCTATTCGTATATTAAAAACATTCGTTCTCCATTTCTTTGGTTATATACCATTCTTTATTGACGTTATCATGGAATTCTATAAAATTATTTTGAAAAGGAAAAAAGGATGGCCCGTGATGGATGTGAATGTGGCTAAGATAGAACATTCCGTAAAGAGGGAACCGTTGTATTACATCAACCTTGAACAAATGTTGACGGAAGGCACCTCCTGTGAAGTGGTAATTAAATTCACCGGAAAGCTCACTACCAATGAGACAAGCGGATTATTTAAAAATGAGTACATCGACTCCAACGGAGACTCGCAGTAAATATAATAATGCCATTAACTAATGAAGCAACTCATTTTTATCATTGTCATGGTTATTTCTAACTACACATTTTTCATTAATTTATTAATTTATATATATATATATATTTACACATTTATTTATTCATTTATTTATATATATTTTTTTTACCTTAATTTGTGTATTAAGTTATTTTTCTATTGATTAGATTCTATTGATTAATAATCGTTCTGTAAAACTTTTATTTCTTGTCTAGCCCATTCGTGGCTACCTACCTCAGACCAAACCACGCGCACAGGGTATTCCCGTGCTTGGATTATAATCAGTACAAAGCTACGTATAAGTTAAGTGTATTGCGCCCGAAAAACATGACTGCAAGATCAAATACTCCGGTGAAGAGCACTACTGATGCGTAAGTAACACGTAACATCGAATTATTACTTAGTGCCAATACTTTCATCATTTAAAAGTTAAACGTAACTTAACCCCTTGCCTTATGGTGACGTGTCAGACTCGTGGTGAAGATTTTAAACAGAATTTAACAAACATGCAATTACGCAGTCCTTTTGAATTCAAATTAATTACTTTTCTGTTGTCACTTATTATATTTTAGAGCAAATGTAGATATGAGATGTGCCTAGAATTTTTCCTTTTTTCAGTAAATTATTAATGGCAAAGTAGTTGTGTTGATCATAGTTGAGAAAAAAATCGTAGGATAAGTGGTTAAAGATATGTTAAAGAAACTACTAAGAGCATTGTAAGATGATAGAAGCCACAAGGGAGTAATACAACAAAATTTCTTCTCGGGACATTTTATTAAAAGATTTCTGGGAAACTTGTAAAATTTAAATCTTATGTACACATAATTTGAGAAGGTTACTACTGTAGGTTATTTAAATAGAAACGTTGATATTATATCCATTATATCATGAAAGATGTGGGTACAATGTGACTTAACGTGCGTGTATTATTATAAGATATGAATACAATCACTTACTGATAACGTGGAATAAAGTGTCAATTAAAAATATTAATCACTTTCTTAAGTAATTAAAATCGGGTTTATGAATTTCGAGTATTTCCGAAAGCATCGTGTACAAATTCAATAATATTATTATATATAACACATTAAGTTATATTTATTAACATATTCTCAAACGGCAAATTTTTCGTATGATGATCTGTTGTTTGAAATGAAGAACTCTTCGTTAAACAAAAGTACTTGCAAAGACATGAATTCACGCCAACGGTCGCGAATGTGTTAAAACGATACTACTTAAATCGTTTTTCTCACCGTGTTCATTAAAATATTCATTTAAATGCATTCAGAATTTTCGTATGAAAATATTTATCTAAAATCATTCAATTTTCGTGTATGTATATTAATGTATATACTATAAAAACTTTTAAACCGCTTTGTGAAGACTTTGTAAAAAAACATATTGTGAGTATTTTAATTAATTTTTGTACAGAACTGATATGCCGGATCAAGTCTGGGATCACTTTGAAGAAACACCGCAAATGTCAACGTACCAATTAGCTTTAGTCGTGTCGGATTTCGAAAGTATATCACCTACGAAGGAAATGAACGAGATAGATGAGAAGAAACTGGAAATCAAGGTTTGGGGTCGGAAAGAGTACTTGAACACTTTGAAGGATGTACCTGACAAAGTTGTCACGATTATGAATTATTTACAAGATTATTTCAACATGTCCATTCTGCTCCCGAAACTGGACTTAATGGCAATCCCATCGTACCATGCAACTAAAGCTTCTGACAGTTGGGGTTTAATGCTTTTCAAGTGCGTACTTACTTATCTTATTAAATTTCAATACTAATGTAATTTTTATAAGTAATTATAGAATTAAATATGACTTGTTACTTAAAATTTACTTACTTTAACTTCGATATTAATTTAATAAAAATCTAATAGCTTATAATTACTGAAATATATTAAATAAATTATATTCTTGAAAAAAATGCCCTGGTAATTAAAATTATTACTCAATTATTAATTATTTAAATTGAATATTTTAGGATGAGAAAATAACACAAAATCGTTATACAAATTATTATAACATTGATATTAATCATAAATTTAAATCAAACAAAGAATTTTCGGAAGGTTGTGTGGATACGTTTAAACATCTTTATTTGTCTATTACGCGTTTTCAAACTTTACCAAATGTCACAAAATATTCACAAGATAAATAATGGTCACGTAGTTTGACATAGCATTATTTGTTATTTGTAATTGTTATTTTAATACAATCTTAATTAACGAAATCAATGTTTGTTGATTTAATATAAACACAACCTAACACAGAAACCTTGAAATAATATAGCGAGAACAATTTGCTACTGTAAATTAGACATTACAGTTTCTTGAAAACACTTCAAATGATCAAAATATATTAAGTAATATTACTTACTCGAAAACGATGATAGAAATCTTGATTGTTTAATCACGAAATTATAGCTAAATGATAGTTAATTGAAACCATTTCATAAACTACTATTAAATTAAGTTTGATAATAACTTTTGTAAGCTTGGTTATCTAATGCATTGAAGTATCTTATTAAAAGATTATTTTGAAAAGTTTAATTTAATTGTAGGGAAAGTGAACTAAGTGGTCCTTCTTATTGGCTCACAGCCTATGAGCTTCTGTATCAATGGATTGGTCAGTATATTACGCCATCTTACTGGAGTCAGGCTCCAGTTAACAAAGCTCTTAATTCATTCTTGGCTTCTTTGACAACTGTGAATGTAAGTGTGATTTTATGTTATTATTAAAAATAATTTCGAACTGCAAAGAAGAAAGTTAATTAATCCTGTACAGCTTAATCCAATTGAAATGGACGGGAAATGGCCAATGACAATATTGTATTCCCTCTACTATGAATTCGGGAAGACTGTGCCTTTCTCGAGGGTCGCAGGAATTAGATGTGAAGCTATGTCGTCGAAAGGTGAGTTGCAATTGAATCCTTTTCTTCAATTTCGTTAACTTAATTATTCACAACATCTGATTACATTAGCACTTGAGAAGCACATTTAATTAAAATAATTGCCACATAATACACTTACTAATTTTCAAACGTTTATATATATTTACAATAATCATTAACGTTATATACATGATAAATGTGATTTTTATGTTTTTTATCAAAATAGTCTGTTAATCACTATATTTCTATTTTGACTTTCATTTAATGTAAGTAGAAATGAAAGAAGGAGAAACATCTCCAATTAAAGAGAACCAGTAATTTAAGTGCTTTGAATAACTTTAGAATTTCAATGCCTACCAAAGTTTTCTGAAAATGAAATAACGCAAATGAAAAATAGGTATAACTTCCTCAAGTTGTTCTTGTATACCTGTTTAAATACTTGCTAACGGAATTTATTATTTAAACTCTGGATACATAAAAATAAAAAATTCTGTTTTAAATGTATTAAATATTACTGTACGATATATTTCGAAGTGAATCGTTTTTATTTCATTTTAGTGGTTTTCGAAAGAACTTATCCCTCGTGATCACAGCTGTTTTAATGAATATTCAAAGTTTAAATAAAGAAATTAACTGTCCTAAGAAATTCTGAATAGTTAAAACATTTGCAAATAAATTAAAATCTACGGAAAGAAAAGAAATCTAATTATCCAAATATTATTTTCTTTCCTAGAGGAACTAACATTCCGGATGTTCAATTGCACCCTGGGCAAGGATGTATTCCAAAGAGGCATTAGAAACTTCGTTCGACAGATATCAGAAGAGTAGTAATTTTTCTCACTAATTAGCCGGGAATCAGATATAAAACACAAATATCTTAGTCTACACGTGTTAGATTACCATCTCGAATTAATGACAGTCAAAAAGACAGATAACAATACTCGAGGGCACACTGTAACTCGACAAATAGACTGGAGGACAAAACTTTCACCACGTTCCTAAACAACAAAACAAATCAGTTTCCTGCGATTGAAATCGTAATCTTAATTGGGAAATTAAATTAACGAAATCTGTAAAAATTTGGAAAAAAAACATGAAAACAATCAGTTCGCTAGTTCCCTTGAATTATAAATAAATTTTATGACGTCCAGTTATATATATATATATATATATATATATACATATATATATTTCAAAAATATTTCGAAACATATAATTCATTTAAACAATTAATGATCGTTTTCATGTATATTGTTTTCTAATATAATTTTTTATAATGGATAAAATATCATTGTTATTACATACTGTTACATATTATTATACATGCAATTAAAAATGTGTAGAACATTTTAAATTTTTAATTTTATAGCATATCAAAATTTCAATTTCTAAATTTAAATTTTAAAATCTAACAATTTATCTTGAAATTCGAATTAATTACAAATTAAAACATCTTTTAGTAACACAAGCTGGTTGCTTCCCGGCTATCCATATCAATCATTCACTTGACCATAGTTTTACGTAATATTTTTATCCAAATAAATTATTGCAGACCACAGAGAGCATTTTTCGAAAGGCAGATCTACGACAGTTTAAACGACGTTGCGAATGAAACCGGCAATTTACCGATAGGTCTGACGATCAGCTCCATTGCAGGACCGTGGATCAATCGAGGTAGAGTGCCATTGGTCACGGTCATACGAGATTATGAAACTAAAACGATTACCTTCAGCCAGGTAGGTGCACTTACGTCTGTGAGCTTATCGAGCAGAAGTGTTGTTTCCCTCAGGGACACCGAAACCGGAACAATAATACGATTTTCGCATGGATAACGCTATGACGTTGAGAAAATGGCGTGATCAATTTGTTCGTGAACATTCTGTATAAAATTCGTCTTTATCTAGATACAACATTCTTTTCAAATGACAAAGAAAACTTTTCTTATCGTTTATCAGTTACACGAAAATACCTTTTTCCATGAAAGGACTCTTCAAATCATCGTGTAATACAAAATTCGATGATCTAAAACCGTAGATGACGAAAGAGCAACATAGTCAGTAATTTTAGTTCTTTCCAGCATCAGTTGTACGGTTAAGATTCATTGAAATCACTTTAGTTGAATTTACGCTTAAGACTAGAATTATCGAACAGTAATTAACCTTTTTCACATTTTTTATACAAATTATAACAATGGATTTATTAAGATTTCAGCTGATTTGTATTTTACTTTGCGTATCACCTAATCAACTTTAATAATATCTGAAAAATACTTTAGTTTTTTGAATAATTACAACAGAAGAAGTCAGGAATGGCTCATTTCGAAAGCATCTGGCAACTCCAGTGTTAAATATTGTGTATCTTTCGCTGAATGTTTCGTAATCAATGAAATTGCATAAATGCAAGAATAACTTCGTAATTTCTTGCTTCATAAATTAATTCGCGGAAAATTAATTTACTATGAACTGAGGATATTAAAATTAATCGGAGGTGCTACAACTGTGTGTATAAACGTAATTGGTAATAATAGTTCATAAATTTGATAATAATTCTAATGACATAAGGAGTTTAAAATGCACTGATCACTTCAAACGATACTGACATCATGATGGATAATCCGTAATTATAAACAGACAAACTGAAGAGTTCGATGTCTCAATAGAGTCGAAAGCGTGGAAAAGGTGTTTAAACATGTTGATTTTTTGTTAGTGAGTTCAAATTATATTTATAGTCTAAAAATTTTTTACACTTTTATTGCTTTAATTATTCCGCACACACTAGGAGCTAGACCATTTTGTTCGTTACTACGAATTGAGATAAATTAGTCGCACAACGATCATTTTACAGAAAGCAAATTGAAATATTTTATTTGCTATCAAATTAAAAGAAAAAGTTTTTAGAAATGCAACGTGCGTTAATTAATCTGGAGTTTATAATTTGTTCGCGTATACAGCATGCTATAGTGATATGATTCAGAGTTTGAGTAATTTTCCGCGAAATAATTCAGCTGTGAGATACACAATTATTTTCATCGAAGAACATCTATGTTCGCCGCTAATACGTAAACGGCTAAAGTATTTTTCATTGAAGAAGTTAATAGCAATCACCATGATAAAATTAATACATTCATTCTCTGACACAGAGTTTGTCAATGAAACGTCAAGAAAAGAAATTTAAACGTCAATTTTTATAATTCAATTTAGTAATCTCCATTTTTATTCGGTTAATTGGAGAAATTCAATTTTTACAAGATTATTGTACAAAATATAACATTGAAATTTTGTTAGTAGCTAATTATGAAATATTTTATCAAGAATTCCTTGGTATTTATCGATTTTTTGCTTTGTTATGAATTTTCATCAAAATCTCAACGTAACGCTTCACGCAATCTCCGGCTCGCGCTTAAATGAGATTCCGAACGGAAGGATGTACGATTGCAGACATAGTATTACAATGAAAAAGGTGTCTACCCTTGAGGAGAGAAAAAAATTCTGTCTTATCTTTAGAGCGACCATCAAAGCTATTTTAAAGGAGCATATAAAGAGTAATCGAAATGAAAACTGAACAGTTGATAACCTTCATTGTTAATCGTAGTTGCATATCGCTGTGCGACTTTGATTGTGGTTTTGATTCGTATTCTAATCTCCATGGTTACGTTATCATTCCAGCAAAGAACTGAACATTTTCAACAAACTTTTATACGTAATTTAAAATATTCTAACGAATTTTATCATTAATCCATATGGGGTATATTTTGACGAAACAATATCTGCCAAAATTTGAATACATATTTTTCAAATAAATATATATATATATATATATATGATAGTATTGAAATAAATCTTTTTCACCTATATTCTTCGTTAGGAAAAAGTAATTATTAGTAAATAATCATTGTGATAACGTTCGTTTTTAAGAATTTCAAAAATTATTTTTGTTTTCATGAATTTCAAAAGTTATTTTTATTTTCAAGAATTTCAAGAATCATTTTTATTTTCAAGATCTTCCAAAACTATTTTTATTATAAAAAATTTCAAGAATTACCTGTGTTTTCAAGAGTTTCGAGAATTGTTCTTTTATTATACAATCATAGATGACAATTACATAGTTAGTATTTTAATGTCTTACAAAATAAAAAGTTACATTTAGTATATTTGTTGTTATTCTCTTATGGTTGAAAATTCATGCAGTAATTGCATTGAAGTAACCAATGATTACATACACTATTTGAAACATGTAATTAAATATTAATTAAATATTTTTTCACCGTAACTTCATCTCAAGTATATACTAATATTGAGATTTCCTCCGTTAATGTTGGCAGAAAGTTTATCTTAGAGAAGCTACACCTGCTTCTACATCCAAAGCGGTCTATCAATGGGACATCCCGCTCGTGATGATATCGGAGACTAATAGGGATATGTATAAACCGTGCAACCTGTGGTTGAGGAATACCAAAGTACCGACAAATCTCACCATTCCCGATACAGTCGGCGGAGACAACTACATCATCGTTAATCCTGAAGAAATAGGTACAAGACAGAGCTAAACCACAGACTTAGGTAAAGATCTTAAGTCTGTGGCTCATCTTTGAAATACGAAAGATTCATTTTTACATAAAAAGAAAGTTATTACTCCGCTACCTAAAAATGTTGTATCGGAACTTTCGTTATGAATAGTTCTATCGATTTTTAAATATCTTTCTCAAGAAAATAAAAACATCCTTCTACTACCAGTAAATTACTCTATTAAATTTTTGTTTGTCAGTTGCATTATTGTTTACAAAAATTAAATGCTTCCATGGAACGTGATATACGGAATTTAATTATTAAATTGTATGAGATATAAATTATGTGAAAACAGTTATCCAAGACATTAGATTTTTTAATTCGTTTTCGTACAATTGATTTGTCATTTTTGATCGGATCATCAGTAGACTGCGAATTTGTATGCACTTGCAGGTAATTTGAAAGTGAAAATTGCACGAAATACGGAAAGTATCCAAAGTACAGTGTTCCTTTTGTAACATTTATTAGGACAAATCATTTTCTATCGTCTATTTATTTGATTTTATTCTTAGACACTTGAATTCGCATGAAGATCCGCAGTCTAGCAATTATATTAAATTGCTGTCATAACTTGAAGAGCGTTTAATGGAGTAAAATTCTTCTGCAGGAATGTTTCCTGTAAATTACGACTCGCATAACTGGAAAATGCTGTCGGCGTATTTGCAAGGCCCCAAACGGGAAACGATTCCTGATTTAACCAGAGCAAAACTTCTCCACGATTCATGGAATCTGGCGTATGCCGGTGAACTTTATTTCGGGATTGCATTGAATATGACGCTCTCGTTAAAGGAGGAGAGGAGCCACGTCGTCTGGGAGCCCGTTTTCATGATGATCGACCATATTGGGAGGCGTATCGAAGGATCTGATGTGTATCCCAAATTTGAGGTAGATTTAGATTATAATAAGAAAATAATATAATATGAAGTAATGATGAAAATTAATGATATGAATATAATATAAACATAGTATCTATGAATATAATATAATATGAATATACAAGTACATTGATCTTTTGTCTTATAATGTCGTTCTATTCCTTTGAATCAAAATTAAATGTTATTTTTCTATCAGCAATTCTTGGTCCTTGACGTAATTGTAGACATAGGAAGAGCATGGAATCTCCTTCTATTTCTAATAAATTATCAATAAAATAGTTCTAACGAACGCACTTGTAGAAGAAATCATAGGGTAAAATATTAAAGCACAAAAAAATAAATTTTGATATTTTCATATTTCATTATAGGCAAAAGCATACTCTTTGCTGCGAGAGCAATCCTAGTTTTCCGGAATAATTGTTAACGTCACAATCTATAATTATGCGAAATATAATAACATTATTATTGTTTCTGAGAGACTAATTTTAATTTGTATAATTGGTTCAAACTGAACAAGTAGTACAGAATAATTATGAACATATTATTAACAGAGTATTACATTATTTGTCTAACAAAAAATGTTGATTTGTTAAATAAAAAGAAACTTAATTATGAACCAATCCAATAGTTTCGCAAAAATTGTTGTTTCAGGCATATATACGAACCCTATTGAAGCCTCTGTACACAGAACTGAATGAATTAGTGGTTAATAACGAGCCATCTTGGAAAACCCACATGCGCAGCCTGGCGAAACATTTCCTCTGTCGTGCGGGTTACAAGCCGTGCGTTGAAGAAGCCAGAAATCAGTATAAAAAGTGGTTGATGGATGAAGATCCAGATAAAGGAAATCCGTATGTAATTTATTTACTTTAATACAAAGAATGAAATTATGCTGCAACTTATTGCGTGCTTTTAACTATAACGTGTGCTTTTGAAACGATCGAATTCAAAAAAAGGATAATTACTTTTAGGAAAATTAATTTGAATAGAAAATAATTCACACACGTGTTCGTGTCATTCACACAACAGATCAAAAATTTGTAATTATTTGTTACATGAGAAGGAAACTTTGATTTCTTAATGAAAAAATATATAGTTTTATATTCCTTTTACCGAAGCCATTTTCGGTTTCCTTAATAACAGTTTTATCTTAAACCACCGCTTATCTACTATCAAGAAAATCATGATACATGAAACCACTCAAAGCATATTACTTACAAAGCAAAAAACATTAAAACATTATTTAATCATATGAACAAAATCTCTGATAAATGTAGATCCTGAAAGTAAATAATGTTTCCATTATTTCTTATTTTATTTTTGTTTATAAGTCATGAATATTATAACTGACAATTTTGATTTGTTCAAAAATTATTTTTCATTCATCCCGAAGTGGACGGATATTCGTGTAATTTATTTCTGCGATTTTGAGTGCAGCCGTCGTAAGGTACTATGAGTGATTTTACCAATAAGCGTCGCTCTGAAAAGTTTCCGCCCGGCGATACAAACTTCGACAATGCTTCTTACGGCCATAAGCCGGCAAATATTGAACATGTTATTTTAAAGGATTTGATTGATTTCAAGTTTGACTGTTTTTAAACTTAAAATAGAATCGTTACACTTATAATTTTAAGAATATAATAGTTTTTTGATTAGTTTATTGAAAAATTCTTAATTTTTTAAATTTCTAAATAAAAATTAATATCTTCCTTTCCCATTCCTTTATTGTTACATTCTAAATCAAATTATTTTTAGTCGTTCAATGGAATGTAAGTTCTTCCTTAACCTTCCGCAGAGTCGCTAATGAATTCATTTGTCCCGTGTTCAAATGGGGATCTGCAGAGGAATGGGAATTCGGACTTCAACGTGTGATCAACTTCCCACAAAACAGTCCTGAACGGAAACAAAATGAACGCACGTACCTATTAAAAACTTTAGCTGGTTGTCCCAAAGACACGAACAAAATAGAAAGGTATTATTAATACATAAATAATATAACAATAACAATAATAATATAAATAAAAAGTATAGTTGTAAAATAATAAACGTTATCGAAGCTCTGTCCTTTTAACAACACTCACAACAACACGTATATATGTTTTTATGCATCTTTAGCAGTGAAAAAATATTTTTACAATTAATTTCCTAATTATTTCATTTAATTTTCATAAATAATACAATATTTTTTCTAACAAAAATGATTCTCTATGGAATTTCTCGTTCAGCAGGTACTTATTTTCTGAAGCAAAAATTACAGTGTCATTTAAATTTCATTCGAAATGATTGCAGATTGTTAAACGTAACCATTTTGGATCAAAATGGGAACTTCACGGATTCCGATATCTATCTAATCTTCAGCACGCTGACCGGCGGTGCAGCGGGTTACACTACCCTTTTCAATTTCTTGAGTGACCATTGGGACACCATTAGACAGAGATTTGAGAACAAAAAGCATCTATGGGACGGAATAATAAATTCGGCCACCTCTTCGTTCAATACTCAAGAAGGCTTTGAGATGGTTTCTGAATTGTACATGAATCGGCAGGGTGAATTCGATACTGCTGATCACATCATCGAAGAAGCACTGAAAATCATTGAGCAAGAAACAGAATGGAGCGAGAAGAATTTGCCAGTAATCGATGCTTGGCTGAATGAGAACTTACCCAAAGAGGAGCTAGAAGCTCTCCAAACTTCCACGGCAACTATCATGATGACTTCAGTTACTGCAGAGGAAAAAAAGGACGAGGAACTATGATCAGTGAAATTAGTTTGTAAATTGTCCTCTGTTTTTATTAACATAGCAGGTTATACTCCATCTTTAATTTAATCGTTATTAAATGCGTCGAAGTGGAAGCAAGTTCAACACTTTTGTATTGTCCAGTCGAAGATAATTTGTTTAATACAGTAGAGAAGTGACTATTTGAGATACGAAATTTTGGAATTTATAATTTCTTTATTTCCGACGTGTCTTTTTTTTATTTAACATTTTCTGTACTTTTTGGAGTGAAATTGACGCGGAATATTTCAAGTTGAATAATTAAAATTATAAATTTATTATTTTTCAGTATACTTTTACAGATATGTGTCATGTATATTTAATTTTTTAAGATGGTTTCTGTGGAAATTTTGTTAAAAATTTATAATTTAATTTTATAAGCAATTTATTTAATGTTCTATTAGAGTGATCAGTAGAGGTTGATATTAGCATCAACCTGCATTTGTTCCTTGCTTCAATTCGATGCAATAAATGTGAAAATGTTATGTGACTTATAGGTTATACTGTGAGACAAATGTTATTGGTAAAATGGAGGACGATAAGAGTTTAGAAAAGTGGAGAATGTAAATTCGAATTATAGGAAATACTGTTCGAATAAATTAATCGTTCGTAACAATCTGATTTTATTCTAGAAAATTCGAAACTGCTACGAAATGTTTATATAATATTTAAGCTTAGATGAAAATTGTATAAATTGCGCGCAATAAAAGTCTGATATACTTTTCTAATGATAAAAATATTCTGATATTACTATTAGTTATAGTTTAATTATTATTCGGTGATTTAGAGTGTTAAGAAAAATGTAATAAATACAACAATAATAACAGTTAAACAACTTCCATTTTTATTTCAAACAAATATCATGTACAACAAAATATATTCTATTAATAATATATCTTCCAGATTCCTTAAATACTGAATTTCTCAAACACTCAAAGTGTCAAACGATAAAAGTTTTAAATTTATTATTTGCTAAAATCAACATAAAAATTTGTCCAAGATTTAAAAATTGTACTATCTATTATACCAAGTTAAGCAGGACCTAATTTCTTAAATATTACAAGTATTAGCATGACCAAAACTAATTAACTATTCTTAATATTAACACATTGCGTACCGGTTAATTTTCAGAAAACTGAACTGTGCGGATGGCGATTTTCACTGAGGTCAACTTATATCACTATACATAGAAAAACTCAGATATATTGTTACGTAATACATTTTAAATAGATAATCAATTCGAATTAAATTTTATATTTTTTCAATGCTGCGGTAATTAGCGAAGTTGCATACCTAAGTGTATTTACATAAAAACGAAATTTCTCGTTACCGGTACGCAATGCATTAAATTGGGTTAAATCACTTCATATTCTATTCATTTATATGGATATTAAAATCATAATAAATAGAAGTTCTAATGCAAATTTGTTTCATTGACCCTCTTGACCAAATTGTTTTAACCTTTATATTATTGTATTATTAGTTGTTTTTTATTATACGAACATAATGCATAGAAAAGTATTAATTTGCGTTGAGTTATTTATTTTATGTCAAGAATCGAATCATTTGTTCGTGAGTCGTTTAATCTATTCGTGACTCAGCGTACAAAATTGGCATTTAAAACGTTAATACGGCAATGGATTCGTTATCTGTCGATCCTGTTTATCTGACATACAAACAAAGTCAAAATAATGGTGAATATTTAAAACATTGAAAGATTGTACGTTGTACATTGAAATATGATTTACATGTGAATATTCAGTCAAATTTCATAATGGCAGTAAATTCATTTCTATACTTATTGTTAGTACATTAACTCCTTGCTTTATAATTTATTTCTGAACTACGATCGATATAACCACTTTGTTATTAATAATTTATTGAGAAAATAGAAAAATTCTAGTCATATTCTATGTCTACGTTTGCTCTATAGTATAATAATTTATAACCGAAGTATAATATTTAATTTGAATTCAAAAGAATTGAGTACTATTAAATACGGGTTAAATTCTGTTTGAAATCATTACCACAAGTTTGATACGTTATTATACGACAAGGGGTTTAAAATAGAACTGAGAACATAATTTCTTTACTTTTAATTTTTGTCGTATATTATCATGGAAAATTATTATTGAATTGTTGTCTCTCCCGTCACCGCACACCCCTCATAAGAATGAAACATTTTGATTCAAAAAAAGGATTTATACCCTTCCTTCCATTTACACAGTCGTGTTTTTATGCAGTATATTATAACACTACTTCTGCAATATTCTTTATAGGTTACATCAATTTTAATAAAACTATAAAACACTAAAAAACATTTTTTTGGGCATCTAAAGGTGAACCACATAAAAATACTGTAAGATATTTTTCGGAATATCTGAAGGTAAAGCATGTAAACATACTATAAAATATTTTTCGAAACATCTAAAGATAAACCATGTCAAAATACTGTAAAACATTTTTCGTAATATCTGAATGTAAATTGAAAGTAACCAGGCGAAAATAAAACTATTCGAGTAACATGCGTCACGATGAATTCGGATAATCAAGCTACTATTCCATTAAGGTTAGTACAAAGGCGGTATAATTTCTTACTCGTGCCTAATCGATGTCGATAAAGAATGGAGGAAGTCGACAAATTCCAGTTTTCTAAGAAAAATAAGGTAAGTACGTCGGAACTGTCAAAGGCAGGTCAGCCAGATGATATCTCGAAGTACGTTTTTAACAAACAACATCGAGATTAAGTACGACGTATCACTGATTCTCATTCTTCCTCTGTGAAATTGAATATGCATGTGTGAGAGTATTCTAATTGCCGCGAACGTGTTTCTGGGAAAGAATATTTCGTTTCCGATGTCCACTATATTGCCCAATATAAAATACAAAAGATTTCAATTAAGAGTTCCTCCGAACTTCCTTTGAAAAAATCGATTATTTTATAAGAATTTTATACATATTCGATAAGTCGTGTACATTCAATCGCTAAACTTATCGCTGGAAATGATTCTTAATTTTAGAAATCTCGTCATAAAACTTTTATTGCATTATCAACCGCAATGGCATCTGTATTTACTCGACTTAAAAGCAATCCTTCATTCATTTGATCAAGTATTTACAGATGAGATTAAGAGCAGAAACGCGAATACGTGTTCGGCGTAACACCGTTTCTAAGAAAACGAACAGTTTTTACAATTAAATTGATGTAGAGATTATTGAGGACTATTAGCTCGTGTAAGTAATATATTGTGCAATGATGTGAACAATTGTTTTTATTACTGATAACTGTAATTAAAACTATATTGATTTTCCTATCAGTACAGAAGTAGATTATTATTTGCCACTTGTGTGACTATTTGTTCGTTCTACATTTCTTGTTTCTCATCTTGCTCTCTCCTTGTGTTGTATCTTCTCTTTCAGTACATTTTTTTTTCTTCTTCTTCTACAGTTTTTCCCTTAATTTTAGCAACATGACTTTAAACGTCTGCTAAATTCTCATTTTCTGCACATTTTCCATTCCAAATATTCTTTTTTCTTTTGTCATTACTATTTCTTTCGCTTATATATATATAATTTACAAACCGGTTTTGTCTGTGTTTACCTGCTTCTGTATGTCTGGCCATTTAAATATCTTATCTTTTTAAAATATACGTTTCACTTCAATTTAATTACTTTATATAGCATTATCTTATCAACTTTGTATTGTTTCCTCAAGTTCATACTACTTCTAGCTGTTTTCTTGGGTCATTCTCGCAAGACGATAAACGTAACGCGATACATGTATGATAAATACTGTACATGAATGTGTAAATATAATAGTATAAATATAACAGGATAAATATAGAACGAATATGTATATATATATATATATATATATATATATATATATATATATATATATATATATATATATGTCACTATTCAATCTATTTAATTAATAATAAATTCAATTCAATTAATAAAGTTGTTCTTTAGTAGCTGTATAAAAATGAACGATGAATTACATCATACGTTACACAGTAATTTACATTTAAAATACCTTATGTGGAAGTCTGTGCTAGATTTACCACGGTCACAGTGCGATTCTTCAAACGATTAATCGACAATGCAACAAAATTACGAAATCTCAACTATACAAGGGAACAATTACACGCGTCACTCACGAATGCGATAAAACAACGGATAGTGAATGTAAATTGAAAATAATTACAATAAAATAATAATAAATAATAATCATTATGAAAACATTAAGAGAAGTCATTAAGAAATCATTCGTCAAAACCCCAGACAAAATTGAACAAACCTAAATATTATTTATTTCAAAATATTAATGAAATATTTCTTTCCTATTATTAATCGTTAACGTCTGAAGTAAATATGGCGTACAGAATAAGTGCCAAACTCTTTGTTTTTTCAATAAATGATTACCGTAAAAACACCTTCATAGAGCAAGGGTTTAAAGCTACTAATAAAGTCAATATCATCTAAACAACCCTAAGCATAGAACATACATTATATTACCATCCCCTAAAATGATTGTAGCTACATATAAAAACAATACCATATAAAATAAACTACCAATTATCACGTTAAGCGCCGTGTCGAGCACTGATGAACGACGCTTTTTAATCACTTCAAAACAATCGTAACATGCAAGATGACCGATATCAAATGAAAACGTTTAATAACGTAACTAAGCTGACAATGGTGTAATACAAGAATTGTAACTCCGAATAATTATTAATTGTTTCTGCTTTTCTTTGCTACAAAAGAACAACTCTACGGAAAACGGTCAAGATTTTCGTGACGCCTAACATGTTAACTATACAATAATTTAACACTAAAAGTATCACGCCGGGTCAAATGACCGATACTTCCAAATTAAAAAATGTATTTATAGTTTTTCTTTCTCTTAATCACCTATAATTCATTTCGCAAAAATATAATCAGTAGATAAAACGCCGGTACGTTTAGCGTTAATAAGATCAAACCCAAGTAATAATGACAAAAGGGAAAGTAAAACAATGACAATGATTAAATCGTAAGAGCGCGAAGAAAACTGCTAATGTCAATATTGGTTCGGAACTTATAATTCAAGTATGCAAACGCAGGAATTCGCAGACTTACACGTTAATCGTGGATCTATTTATTTACGTCGCCGGCTACGTAGATATCATCCGACCGTGGCTTTGAATAAAAAGCTTAATATTTATAAATTTGTGTAGATAAAGAATCGAAAACGTCGGTCCCACAACAAGAATACGGTGAACGCGGAGGCCAGTCAAACAACTGATAAGATAATCAACGACGCTAATCCTATATGCACTCTAAAAGCATTCAAAAAGAGGAGTAGACGTCTAGTGCACGAAGCGCGCGTGATCGGGGTGTTAACCTCCCGTGAGAAATCCTCACTACAATAGTTGATATATTCTTTTCTTCTTTTTTTTGTTCGTACATATACGCGCAAACATCGATAAACGAATCATATAACGATCGATCGTACACTCTATTGAGGTCAGTGATCAGTGGTCCGTGGTAGTGAAATAATCGTGACAGGAATTGTTATTTTAAGGAGCTTTCACTTTTATCTTTTTTTGAAGAATATCCTTCGTACAACGGTGGTTCCTAGCCCATTTGCTAGGAAGAATGTGACTGTGCGGGCGAAGTGGTGTGGACGGTAGGAGGAGATAATTAAAAATAATTCCAGCAGTAAGTCGTATGATTGTTAAATGCACATTTGTACAATTACAAGGAACGAGATTCGCGTTATTGTAAATTTCCTTTATACGGATTGAATGTTGTCTTGGTTTTTAACATTAAAACTACCGAGCAGTTAAATTAAATGTTTGAAATTCCTTCACGCAATGTCCGAGAGTGCATCTATGGAGACTTTAATTGATTCCCAATTTAGTTTTCGTGTTGCTAAATCAATTTCTTTAATAATTTCTCAGACACACATCTGTTATCTTTTTGGTAATTGCAAAAAGAAGACATAAGGAATGGGTCATTCTGACTCGACTGGTAATTTATTGTTAATATGGGATCACTTGAAACACGAAATTAATTGGATACTTGCTGAAGTGGTGTATCGAGTGTTTTATGATTAATAGGTGTATATTTGGTAAATGAAAAAAGACGTAATACAATTTGTGCAACTTTTGGTTTTTGACGAACTTGGAGACGAAAATTGATTTAGTGTTACACAGTTCGAATTTAGTTAAAAAGTGGGGAATGTAAGCGATAAGTGGGCAGGATAAATAGCTAATGTTAATAATGCGACTGTCATGAAAGAAGTTTTACGTGTAAAAGCTGCTTTTTTCATTTTCTACTTGGTTTTGTGATATGATTCATTGTATGTACGTATTATATTTGTTGCGCAACTTTTTAATAAATAAATTCTTTCCAATTCGACAATTTCCACGATAAAAAGTATTAATTATTATAAAAGTATTAATTGGCTTCATCGAAATGTTAAGCAATATTAAGGCTGTATTTTCTACAAAATATTAATTTTTTACTATGTTCAATACGAAATTACATTATTTTACTTTTTCTTAAAAGGAGATAATTTTTATTAACGGAAGATCGACGAACAGTTTCTATAAAAATATTATTTGTCCAAAGACCATTTACGATAATGGAAAGAACGATACTTTTCATCGATATTGTGTTTTTCCTAAAACTTATATCATGAGATAAAGATATATGAAATTCAACACGTAGTAGGATTTACCTGTATTATCGTAGATACTATCAACACGCTAATAGACAACATCGTTACTACTGTAGTTGGTTGTTACGCCACTTGATCGTTTTTAAATATCTCCAAAAACATTAAGTCTCTGTTTAAAGATGAAATTGGTAAGTTGTCGCATTACAACAAACCTGATTCTCTCGAAATATCTGCCTAGGCTAACGAGGTATTCAAATTTGTCTCACTGACGTGTGTATTGCTCCAAATCCCAATTAATAATCTTTTCTTACTTAACCAATATTCGTTCAATTTATATTAAAAACATATTTATATTTTATATTTGCAATAATTTTAATTATACTTGCAAAAATCTTCTTTCCATGGAAGATACCTTTAGGACTTCTCCGAAGTTTTTCATTTTCTCACTGCCTTCTCTGACCAGTCTATTATAAAATGTTTCACTTCGGTTCATACATAAAAAAGGAATAGCAGCCACTATTTCTTAGTACCCTCTTTTATCAAATTACGGCGACTTCTACCAACTACTTCAGATGCCCACAAATAGCAGAGTGGATTATTTTATCTGTTAATCCCATCTTTTACGTGCTGTTTTTTTACTAGAACCTTCAATTTTGTCGTTGATATCTATTAATCCATTCACTTTGAAGACTGTTATCTGTAAAATGAAACTTTTGACAAAATAATTTCACTCTATATATTCTAACAATACGTATCTCCTGTAGAATGGTAATCGCATTATTACTGTTTTCAAATTCCTTTGATTCTTTTGAAACAACAGTGATACGAGACTGCGATACATTTGACTTTTCTTGAAAAGTCTACGAATAATTTCTGGTATTTTTTACACTATCGATAACAAATTTGGAAATACTTCTAATACTCATGGTTTGTGAGAGAAAATGAATTGAAAAGTAATGGAGTTCAACATCTCTTATCTTTAGTAGCAGTATGAGAGATTTTTATTTATTCTATTACCTTCGACGAAAAAAATTTGAATGAGATTGAAGTAATACTACTTCTCCCTTTACCAAATTCATGATCTTTTTTCATGAAATAATTCATACCAAGTTTTCAAGAAGTAGTGTATTTACATATGAAATCGAATGTGTCAGGATGAGTATCTGAACAGGTCAAACTATTCTAAAAATAAACAAGAAATATAGTAAATGAATAAATTAATAAAAATAATAAATAAATAAATGATTATATTTCGTAAAAAAGAAGAAAAAAATACTTCAAACAATAAACAATTACATGCAAGAATAATTTAACGAAATACACATAATAAAATTGTATGATTTCACGCTTTGCTTTGGAGAAAATTAACTTTAAATCTTCATTGACAACATATCTGTTGATACCTTCAAGTAGTAGAATTAATCCATAATTAATTATCAAGCACGTTAAAATATTTGCAACTTCTTACAGAATTTATTTTCATGTAAAGAAAACCATTTACTCAATTCCATTGTCCGTCCTGACATAGTTTAGATATGGTGAAACCCCTTTAGTATATTATATTTAATAGTTTTTTGACAAATATGTAATCGCAAATATTTATTAATATCTATTAATTTTTACTCTCACTCTCGAGGATATCCTAATTTATACCTTACATATACAAACTGCTCTTTGGAATATAATATTTACTTCAACAATGGATGCGAAACAGAAGAACGATAATAAAAGTCTAATTACAAAAATACATAAAATTTAAATCACCGACACAGAACAAGGTAAAAATTGATAAAAGTGATAATACTGAAATCACCAATAGAGAATTTGTTGAAATCTGTGAAATTTGACGAGATTGGAATCACCAAAACAGAATTTGCTGAAGTATGGTACAATTGATATTTGAAATTAACGATACAGATTTTATCGATACCAATCGGATGGAGAAGAATTCATTGAAACCAAATTTCAATGACTCTCCATGAATCGACAGTGTTAATGACGATATCCAGTAATACTGCTCCCTCGTTAGTTGCACAGTGATAATGGGGTCAAAGTATTTATACGCTTCTTATCGTTACACATCGTTAGCGATGCATATAAATCGGTGAATACGTATCTCTATGTCACTCGAAGTCAGTCTATCAATTTTGACTTATAATGGTGCTGGTCTGTGTTAGATGCCCATGAAACGTCTGTTGGTGATTTCAATAGAGTTCTTATGGAACTTCCTGTGCACAGGTGAACTTTCAAATATTTTCACGAATGGCAGATAGTTTAACCCTTAGCACTCGATTTATTTTCAATGTTGTTGGGTGTAAGCTCGCATTTATTTTTAAGGAAATGATGTTTATAATTAGGCAACGAATTTTGATGGTATTTTTTTAAAATTGGAACCTACCTCTTTTTTCATGAAATTTGCCTGTTTTACGTATAACGAAGAGATGGTACGATGTATATAAAGGAAGATATAGGTTTAAATTTTAAAAATATTGCAATAGGGTTCGTCTTTAATCAGAAAATGAAAGCTGTGATATTCTAAATTGATAAAGATGCTGTACGTCTGATTCGATTACACTGTATCTGTACACACGAGTTTAATTATTTCGAAAACATGGGTGATTTACCCAGTTTGACGACAGCTGAACTATAAATGATAAAATAAAGTTTGTTGACAACTGTATTATCGCAGTCACGAGTGCAAGATTCCCCTTAATCGAGTGCTAACAATTAATGTCGCGAAAACGTGATTTCTACTGAGAAATTATCTATCAAATTAACATACTTATTTTTGGAATATATCTTGTAATGCATAATTTGTAACACACGCACACGCTCGCACATATTTGCAAAAGATAATTTCAAATGATAAAACTGAAGTACCTTATACTTGAAATAATTGTAGTTTCACAAATTTCCAGGTATTAAGAAGGTACGTTTATCATTTATAGATACCGTATTGATGAATTTTCAGATAATAACGGTAATATTTGATAAAGTTTTCATTACTGTTCATTATAAAACTCAAATCATAAAATTCTGTAATTATTAATATAACCTAGAACATTAAAATGGATAAAATGGATTTTACCTTTAAAGTATTATTACTGGAGGTAGATTAGACATGATGATAATAAAACGTTTGAATGAAACCCTTAAGTATTTACATAATCGTTCGGTTTATTAAAATCATTTGGTTATTACCATTTTTTAATTGTCACTGTTTATTTACCACGTGCTTCTATTTGAAATTTTTAAATATTATTTTTATAAGTTGCAGTCTCTTCCATTTTTAATAATTTGTTTACTTTTTTCTTATTTACTCACTTCCAGCAAACGGAAAGGACATTAACGAACTACCATGAATTTCTATCGAATTGAACATTTAATTATTTTCCTTACTTTAACCTGCATTGGATGTTACGTGAAGAGTGCCAGTGCCCAACAAACTACAGGTAATTATAAATGATTATACATAACATTTACTTAACAAATTTAAAGAATTGAAAAATGCTTAACATGAAAAACAGTTTCATGGATTTGCTTTTCTAAACTTTTCACGGAACGAATAGTCTCTCTATTAAAATTTCATTTAAATACTTGTTTGAATATCAAATTTTGTAGCCAATATAATTCTGGATCATCTTAAACAAATTTTACTCAATTGCATTGGAACTTTCAATGTTTTATATTTGAATTGAAACAGAGAAATTAAGAAATTTAAAAATAAAAGTTGTGATTTCCGTATAAAATGAAAAATGAAAATTTACGTTTCTATATGACAAACGTAAACATTTAAATCACTAATATTAATAAGTTTCGACAGTTTCACATTGTGAAGTACTTTATACACCATTTCATGAATAAACTACATAAATTAAGGTTTATTAGATTATTTCAGTTCATTATATTCATTTTAATTATTCAAAACTTATGCCATTAGGTTTATTACATTAATTTTAACTATTAAAAATTTTATTTCATTTAGTTAATCATAATTTCTTTAAAAAATTCATCGCATTTAAAGTCCTATTGCAGAGAATTGTAAATAATTTCTTCACAAAAATAGTTCTGAAAAACATATTTTCAATGTATAATTTTCACCTGTAAATGGACTATAAAATTCCATATTCTACGAAATAATGTGGATAAAATTTAAGAAAACTATGTAAATGGTTTATATTAATTTCTGATTAATATCCTATCTTTATTCTGTAGAGAAACATGAGGGAGACAATGACGTTGTCGACATTCGACTACCTAAAACAATCATTCCTGTTAACTACGACATTTTACTGATGCCGTATTTGAAAGATGATTTCCGGTTCGAAGGAGTTGTAATCATCGAAGTTTTGGTACAAGAAGACACAGATACCATAGTACTCCACCGCGGGGATATCGACATTACAAGATGGTCTGTATCGAATAGTACAGGATCCATACTTGTACTACCGAATACAACTTACGATCCTACAACAGAAAAATACACGATGGTGGTAGACACTGTTTTACAAAGAGGATCACATGTAAATATCAGCTTCACTTATGAAGGAAAGTTAAGGGATGATATGATTGGATTCTACAAAAGCTCGTATATTGACTCAGATGGACGTATTAGGTAATGCTATATTCAATGAAATTGATGAATAATTGAATATAAGTACTAATTATATTAAACCTAAGGTTTTTCAACTTTCTCTCGTGTTCATAACTCGAAAAGCAAATATTTATTTATTTTAACTTAGAACAGTAACGTCGAAGCATGATTCAAATAACATGGTTTCTAAATTCTTCAAGAAAGAATATTGCATGAAAACTGAAGCAATGGTACGATAAAATAAAAATATTTACATTTTTTAATCAAACTTTGAAATTTTACATTTGCATATGGCAACACACAAGAAAAACTTTGAAGGTTATATAGATATATCATACCAATTTTTTTACTTCAAAGTAAGACCTTTTTCAAGATAAAATGAATAATTTGTTACCACTTTTTTTATCCAAATAAAAATTTGTTACCATTCTTTTGATTCAAATAAGTAGTTCATTACCAATAATTTCTTGTCATTTGTCATGAATAATTAATTTGAAGATAAGAATCTTCAATCATGATATTTATATCTCGATAAAATAATATACCAACAAAAAACTAATTCATCATACGCATATATAGATATTATAAAACTTTCAGATATTAGAAACGTATTTTCATGTAACAAACAATTGAAATGATTAATTTAAGGTGGTACAATTAGGCGACACACTCTGTACTATCATGAAATAGCAACGATTAAATTCTCTCCCATCTGTTACTGTACACCCTGTATATCACTTAATGCATCTTTCGATGAAGATCTGAAAAAGGTTCAAATAATAAAAATTTCATTCTATATTCACCATCACCAGCCAAGAAATGGCGTTGGTCATGAAGACATTTGAAATATTATAATCTTTATAGATGGCTCGCTGCAACGCAATTCCAAACAACGCACGCAAGACACGCTTTTCCATGCTTTGACGAACCGAGCTTCAAAGCGTCGTTTATAATCAGGATTTTACAGCCGTCGGGTTATAATTGCTTGAGTAATATGCCGTTAGTAGGATCCACGCTGGAGTAAGTAAACTGTAGTTTTTTTGTAATTCTTTTTCCTTATTTCTTTCTTTTTTATTTAAAAAGGAAACATCAGTGATGATTTATATAAGTACACATGTGTAAGTTTGCAAATGTGCACGCTAAATCTGTAAATTATATTGCTCGAGAAGACATACATCTGAGCAAACTATAATATTAGATTGATTAACACTTTGCACTCGATCAGTGACCCCTCAATCACTATTCGATTTGATATAACAGAATTATGAAGTCTTATATATAATACTAAGCTTCACATCTTGCATCAGTATATGAAATATTCAAATAAAATAACATTGTTCCTTGATTTATGAATGTTTTCTCATTAACTTAGGTCGATTAGCTCATTAACTTTAACGAAGATCGTCTATATCTCATCAGAAAATATAGAATATTAGGAGCGAAAAACTTTCGAGTGCCAAGAGTTAACAGTTATTTTCTAAGTTCAATCAATTTTTCTCAATTCGGTTTTCGATTCCTTCTATTACAATTTAACAGTGTATGTATTTAATAGATTATATGAAATTCTTTACTAGACTTTGTTAAACGGGTGAGTGAAAATAATAGTGACCCAAGTACTGTTTCTAACTTCTCGAGAAAGAAAAATGTTCATGAATTGCTGTTTGATTAATTAAATATTAACATTATAATATTATAGATAGTATTAATTATTAATATTAGTAACTGTGACTTTAGTCTTTAATTAATCCAAGAACATTTCATAAAACCTTTATTTCTCGAAAACTCGTAAACAAGAGTTAAACCACTATTATTCTGAGCCACCCAAATTACCTCTTAGTGAAATATGCGTCTACAAAAAACAGAGAAAATAGTGTTAATTATCATCTCAATATTCATCAATAGTTACCATCCTTTCCTCGCATATTTCTAATCAGTTCAGTTCTCTAAGTATCACAAAGCCAGCGTTACCCGATTTTGTTTATACAGTAAATACATTATACAGTACAATATATTATAATGTTTTATACAATACATTATTTTTATATAACAACTTCGAATACTATTAAGTATAATGTACTTAATTAATTTTTAATCAATGAGTTCATACGATGAATATGTTACACATTTATTTTCATGTAACAACTTCGAATGTTTTTACATACGGTGCACTCAACTGATTTCCAATTCACTGTTACAGAGGCGATAAAACTTTTCACGAATTCGAACAAAGCATTCCCATGTCCACGTACCTGGTGGCGTTCATAATTTCAGACTTCCGTCCCTTGGGAGTGGGAACCTTCAATGTTTGGGCCAGACCGAACGCTATAGATCAAGCACGATATGCGATAGAGATTGGTCCAAAATCCCTTGACTATCTAGCCAAGTTATTCAAACAAGACTACCAAATTTCGAAAATGGATATGGCGGCAGTGCCTGATTTTTCGGCCGGTGCAATGGAAAACTGGGGACTGATCACTTACCGAGAATCCAGAATGTTGTATGATCAGAGCATGTCATCCGATGCTGCCAAACAGAGCGTCGCATCGGTAATTGTCCACGAATTGACCCACATGTGGTTTGGAAATCAAGTTACGCCCGAGTGGTGGGGATATTTGTGGCTGAGCGAAGCATTCGCCAGGTATTTTCAATACTTTGGCACTGCACAGGTAATTTTCTCGTTTCTTTAAAACGAAACAGTACATGTTCACTTTTTGAATGTTATCTAAAGGAGTAATTGATTCCACTGTTTTTAACTTACTCGGATTTATAATATTAACAATGAATTAAATATTAATATTGTAACGTTATAGACTGTATTAATTATTAATATTAGTAACAGTAATACTAGTTTTTAATTAATCCAAGAACATGTCACAAAAGCCTTTATTCCTCGAAAACCCAAAAATATGAGTTAGACTACTATTATTCTGAGCGTTTGATTATAACACTTACTGGTTGTTTGTCATTTGAATAAAAGTGAACATATAAAAGTAAAACCCTAATGTTAGCGAATTATAATTAGATATGAAAATGAGATATATGATTTTATATAAAAATGAGAAAAAGAATGAGTTATCATTTATTTGGCAGATTGAAAAAACATGGAACATGGAGAAACAGTTCATTGTGGAGCAACATCAGACTGCTCTCGCAGCAGATGGTCTTGAATCATCGAAGCCAATGACACGAAACGTCCTTACTCATTCGCAGATAGGTGAAACCGGTGACACTATCACGTATAACAAAGGAGCAAGTGTCGTTAGAATGATGAGCCTTATTTTCGGTAACGATTTGTTCGAGGCAGGATTGCAAAACTACCTAAAAAACAAGTAATTAAATCACTTATTATATTCACTGCACTAGATATCTTTAAACAAATTCAAATTTGTTAAGAAAGTAATTATAAAAGTAGAATTATAATAGAAACTAGCTGTTCCTAACAAATATTTATAAAAAACGTTGAAGTAATTAAACCACATACTATATTCACTGCACTGGGTATCTTCAAGCAAATAAAAATTTTTAAGAAAATAATTTAAAAAATAGAATTATAATGGAAAAGGGGTATTCCTAACAAATATTTATTCAAATTTCTTATGAGTGCATAAAAATTCGCAATCTACTCATCACGTAGTGCATGCAGACGTTTTCTATTTGAAATCATATTTTAGATCCTATTACTACGTACATAATATAAACAGCATAAAGTACTCAAAAGTCAAAGTAATTAGTCAAAAAAAAAGGTATGAATAGTGAAAGAAAAGTCTGCTGTTGTTATTACTTAATCCTTTGTACTCGAGAGGTGGCTCTCAATCACCATTCGATTCGATATAAGAAAACTACAAAGTGTTATATATATATATATAACATTAAGTTTCGTATAATGCGTCGGTACGTGAGATATTTGTATAAAATAACTTTGTTTCTTAATTTACTGTGTTTTCTGATTAGATCATTTCAAATAATGTCGTTTATGTCTCACTGGGAAATGTCGAATGATCCTAGTGAGAGATTTCCGAGTGCAGAAAGTTAAGGGTTAAATATCTTCATTTCCATTTATAAGGTTTATAAATAGGATAGTATAATTCTTTCTTTCGGATTGCGTTGGCAGATTCATGTTTGTTCATCATATACTATGTACACATAGTCTTATATCATTTTTATCCGTACACAAACATTGAATTGCTACAGAGTTCGTTGTATCCTATTTGCTTTGCTTATCATTTCACGACATTGTGGTAACAAAACTTTAAAATTATTTTTACCCAGTCTGAGTTGTCAAACCTCTTCTTTATCATCTGTTGAAACTGCATATTCTTTTATAATATGTTTACATATCAATATCATACAAGTAGAGACGTGTATATTTACTGAACAGTCTTTTTCATTCGTTGTCTCGATTCTCGCTGTATCTGAATGCTGAGAGACAATTGGCAATGAATAAGAGTATGTAATAAACAGATTTTAATTACTGTCATGATGTATTTATGGCATCTGTAAATTTATAAAATACAACGATTTACATTAGTAAATAGTAATGTTGTTTCGACTCGGTTTCTACATTATTAGGAATCTTATATTTTACAAACTAAATCTGTCTATTTCTTATAAAAACGAAGTCAAAACTTTTGCATCAATCCAATATATGAATGACTCACTTACCAAATCGATTAACTCCATAAAACAAAAAGTGGAGAGAAGTGATGCAATAGCAATATAATGATTTTCGAACTATCCCTTTAAATGTGTAGCTTTAATCTAAAGAATATGTAAAATCTATAAAATAGTATATCTCCGAAGTAAGTTTCATTATTACTGCAAGTTTTGTATAGGCAACAGAATTTTTATTTCGTGGTATCACAGCTAATAAGAAGAGAATTTATCTTTAATATAAAAAGTCAGAAGTCAATGAAGCGTTTTAACGATAAGATCGTAAAAAATTCAGACAGTGGAGTTAATCCATTTGGCAAGTGAGCCATTCATATGTCTTTTCAAGAACAAGTAACATAGTCGTATATCCACTTCAGCAAAGAGAAGAAAGTGGCACGGCCTGAGAATCTGTGGACCGAGTTTCAAAATGAATTGAATCGGCGGGATCAACAACTCGTTGCACCGGTGGATGAGATCATGACTACTTGGACGGAGCAAGCAGGATATCCGGTTCTGTTGGTAGACATCAAAAATGGCGTAGCCACTGTACGCCAGAAACGTTTTCTTCTGAGAAATTTAAAACGCACGCCAACAAATATGACATGGTGGGTTCCCATCACGTGGGCCAGCAAAAGCAACCCAAATTTCAATACTGTCAACGTGACCTACTGGATGAACAAAGCGGAAGATACGTTCAAAGTAGGAAACGATCGTGAATGGGTGATACTAAACGTCCAAGCAGCTGGTGAGTAGTTGATTACTTATCACATTTATAAGGAAATAATAATACTTAACACTCGATTTACGCGATTGATTCCCCGAAAGTGCCGTATAAATTGAAATCGTGCAATTCGAATGCCGTGTAAATCGAGGGCTAAGTGCAGTATGAAATATTTGTGTAACGAGACCAGAAAACTGTTGATAATGAAAAAGGTATGAAAAGTACATAACAGGAAAGAGAAAACAGTGTTTATTAAGATTAGATAAAATATAAATGTAGAATTGGTTTCGACTCAAATGATTTATCACGTCCATACCAGCTCTGTAATTCACACTGTTCTCCACTTGGAGGCTAAATTCTTAACGTTTTTGAAAATACTGAAATTACCAACAAGTAATTTAATTTTCAACTATATGGCAATTTTTTCTAATTACAAAACCAGTTTAACGAACTACATATTTGATGGTACACGCCGTTTGATGTGACATCGAAGTGTAATCCATCAATGGTACACACCGTGTGATATTTTAGTGTGAACCACCGGTGGCACGCGCCCCCGGATGGGACGTCCAAGCGTGAGCCACTTTAAAAAATTGCCATATAATTGAAAATTAATTTACTTATTGATAATTTCAATATTTTCAAAAATCTTAAAAATTTCACTGCCAGATAAGATTTCAATTTAAAAGATTATTTGTGAATGTGCTACAGAATTTATGCCAGAATTCTTCACAGAAAATGATGCTATAGGTTGTGTCAAATCCAAGGTTATATATTTTTAGAATGCTATCAAATATAAATGAAATATAAATTATAACAAATTAATGACAAGGAACACAAAATTTAAACAGGCTTTAACCCTTGTCAATCTAGTAGCACTGTGAGTTGAAGTACAGTGTTGACTTGCGCTTGGTAGCACTGCTACCAGTTGAAATGATAAGGGTTATATACGACGTTGATTACTGAATTAGCAGCCATAACAATTTTGCAATATCAACGTAGCATGTTTTATGAAACAGACAATGAAAAATAAAGATTTATCAATATTAGATTTACGAAACGAGTCAGTTTGACTGATATTGAATTTTTTAAACATTATTTTGTAAATTTTTGGGTTGATTTTGATTGATGGAGTTACATACGCAAACGTGTACCCTAATTGTCTACTTTTAAACTTTTAATTTCCGAAATTTAAATGAACGAATATCAATTTAAATAGATAAATACCCGTAAATTGGTTGAACTATTTTCAAATTAATGTATGTATCTGATACTGTATTTGTCACACACATACACAGATGATATCTGTCACATGATATCTAATCAACGATATCTACCAATGAATCTAAGATATGAAGTTTAAGTGAAAGAAGCTTATTGATAAAAATATCTATTGCTGGAAATGAGTATATTACACATGAAACATGAACACACAACATTGAATCAAAACGTGCAACTATTAGTTGACTACGACTGTATTTATATTAAGTATTTAATGATAAGAAGATATATATTCTTTTTTACATACATTGATAAGTTAATATATCAATACAAATGTTAATACTGGAAGATATTATTTAGACAAGATTAATCGCTATGATTATTACCATAATACAATATTATTATGTATCATTTGAGTATTAGTTAATGAACCAATAGAAATCTAAGAATTAATATACTTACCTACTATATGAATCCAGTGAAACAAAAATATATGATACATACTAAACATATTAAAAGAGTTTTGCAACATTCCTACGTTAGAACAACTATACTCTGTATCAGACTAGTTGTAAATAACAAAAAATGATACAGATCAACAAATGAAAATTTCAAAATAATGAATTACAACTATAAAAAATTATATTAAGCTATACATCATGTATGTACCTCACTTATAACAAGAAATATGTGATTTTTAAAATTATGAATATTCGCATATTTAATCAATTATGTCGTTCTTGCATTTGATAAAAGTATCTTGATATTCCCTCCGATTTTGGTATAATACTTCACGCCCCCCGTATTCTGAAAACTACGAGATATGGATACTTCACAATTTTGGAGACCGTATATATATAAGAAACTATAGTAACAATCCTCGAGCTGTGCCATTTCCGTCAAATGATGGTGTACACTTCCACTTTTAACAGATTGCGAAAACTATCGTAGATATAAATATTTCATATTATTACGGGTTTAAATTATTGAAACCTTATGATGAGTGCTTCGCGACTAGTAT